AGGTCTGAAAGCTTATTAGGAGTGGGGAGCTTTTTTCAGAAATGCAGAGCCACGGGTTGCTTGGATTCTATCACGAATGCACCGAGAGATCAATACGATCAAATAACATCAGCACCGCCGCAGCCAGCGTCGCGTCGCGTTTTCGGAACCCTAATCGATGGAGCTGGCAGTTGTCAGCGGAGGCACGGAGAGAGAGCAAGCCGCTTTATTGGCATTAAATGAGAAAAGTTCAGCCACCGTGTTTGTTACACAAGGAAAAGTTTCCTTTGCGGAAAGAACAATGCATTAACATAAAACTTTTTTTTGAATACACAGTTGTAATTAAGTATTTGAAGTTTTACTTGTTTGCAAGGTCATATATATATATGTGTGTGTGTGTGTAGATGAATGGAAGTTAGTCTTAAGTTTGTTAGTTGGAAGCAAACTCCCTGCCCCCTCTTTCTCTTCTGTCTCCCTCGATTTGACTTTGAGTTACACACTTTTTCGCCTTCAATCAGAGGTAACCACGTTGTGTAAACGGGTAAGACACCCTTGACGTCGTTGCCGCCGCGCGAACAGCAGTGTATTGGAATGAACGACCGTGGCTGTCGTCTTATGTTGTGGCGTCACGGTTCGCACGCTCCACGCGGTTTCTCGACTGGCGCGCATCTGGCACGGATGCAGTCCATGGCCACGCCCCGTTGTGGCAGAGCCCCGCCCCCTTTGCTGGTTAGCTCCACCCACGTCTCTAACAACCAATCGTAAGTTTTAATTCTGGATTTGAAGCTTTCGTGACTGCAAGGATTCATGCTCTTAGGTTTTTTCGGTAAAGTCACGTAGGTAAAAAAGTCCACGAACGTGCATGTGATTAAACGAGTCGCAGCAGATTGCAGAGCGCCTCGCGGTTCCGGTGGCGATTGTCTCTTCTGTAAGCCACCGCGTAGCGCAACTGCTCACAACCGGTTATATACAAGCGTGCGAGTATAAAAATTTTTCTTGCCAAAGGCAAACGAGATCTCAACAAAATCGACCTCACCGCCAAATCAAGTCCCGATGCCCCCTTCTGGAATCGCGCTGCCACCATCCTAGAGTCTGACCCAGGTCCAGAAGGACACTGGCGAACAGAGTGGAACGTTGGGGATGTCCAAAACAAACACTTCGTTTGACAAAAGTCGCACCTTCTGGCATTGACATTGATTGCTCGAAGACACCGGCGTAACGATCAACCGGATCGAAACATCAACACGCTGCCGTGTGCACACCTTCATAAATGGAAAATTAAAGATATAATCCACTGTGGCCATACACCCCAAACAATGGACCATATAATATAGTAAACTACTGTAGCCTGCGCTCCTTGTGCAGGAGGAATAGCAACACTACACCAACTATCTCATCAAGCCCACTCTGGGCTAATAGCAACATTACACAAACTACACAAACTATCTCCTCAAGCCCACTCTGGGCTAGCAGACCACGACGTTGGCATTTAGCTCCTGAACATTTTGCCACGCGCAAGAACAAAAAAGCACAAATCCCTCATCATAACAGTACAATTAAAACAGTGGCACACTTGGCCACCTAAAGGCACGGTGCGAGAAATCATCAAATAAATGCATCGAGGATCTGGCTGCTGGAAGCCCCCCCCCCCCCCCCCCCCTTGTGTACGCAGTTGTCGCGCTACGCTGCAGCGGTTGAGTGCGTGTCCCTGTTGAGATATTTTCTCTGGCTGACCCACCGCAAAACCGCTCTCCGTCTGTTTGATGGCCGATGCAGCATTTATTCTGACACGTAATCCAAAACACTCGCTTCTCCATCTCCCTGACAGCTGCCGTACAGGAGAGTAATGCCGTTTGTTTTTATTGCCCGTTTTTGTTTTTATTGTACAAGGTTTGTACGTTTCTCCCACCCGGCCCTAAACAGTGAACGATCTACATCGAGCCCAGTTCTTTCCAAAATAACATATTCCGCACTGCGTGTTCTCGCGTGTCTGAGGGGCTGCTGATGGTTCTGATTGAATCAGCTCTTGCTGAACCAACCCATTTTGTTCCGATGCCGTCGGTTAAATGACAACCAAATGGACGGATGTTGTTTTTTACAATTTTCTAGGCTTTTATTTATGCAGGAAAGATTCAATTGAGTCTTGGGACTTCTTGGTTCTTTGTTTCCAAGGAGAGGGTCCCGCTGTGGATGTCTCAACAATTTCTCATGAATAATTTTGTCATGGAGGAAGAAAGGAGAGTTGTCTGGAAATGGATACCACCCAATTTAGTTTTCTCAACGGTGGTCAACTTATCGAGAGACTGGCACGTGCGATGAAAATGTGGAATTTCTACCACATTTTCAGGTCCGCTGAATGGACTTTACAATCGAGGCATCGTCCGGCGTGCCACAGCACACATTGTCACGTGTTAGTGAGCGACACCACGGGGTCTTTAATAACACACCTTGCAAACTGTCCTTCAGTGTCAGGTGTGCTCACCAAAAGGCAGTGTCTTCTTCACTTGTGCGATTCTCAATCGCACATTTCCATCTTCCCTGCCTCTATTGCTGTGAACTGGGACCCCCTCATCCTGAGAAAACTCAAAGCAAGTAGTCATCATCGTGTGAAGGCGGTTATAATACAGACAAATATCCAGCTGTTGGCCAACGCGATTTCGTTAACAGCAACGCCATGAAAGGTCGTGTGTAATAATGGGCTTATTTCTTGGTCATCCAATCTAAGATTATAATTTCAACGAGTCATCTGTAGTTATTACAGAATTCACATTGGGGTAATTTGATTCTGTCTACCGGTGCTATTCAGAGTGGGGTTGATTGCCTTCTGCGTAGTGGCGTTGTGAATGGGGAGTGGTAATTGGAGTGATGGCAGTTGGTCCGTTTCAAAACTTATTTATCCTTTTGTAAACTGAAAGTGTAGCTTTATGCACATTGAACATGCTGAATTTGCATAGATTTAAGGTAAGTAAGCACAAGTCATCACTTAATTCTGAACGTGACCTGCACCTCACCTTGGTCAGCTCAGCCTTTCAAAGGGTGGATGGATAATTTGAAGATGGCCAATACTAAATTTGAATTCCACTTAATTTAGCAGAGACTTTCTCCCCCACACGAAGGCCAATAGGTCATCATTGCCAGTGCCATTGATGTGACCACATCTTGCGATTACTTCTTCCTTCCTTCCAGGGCCAACAACTGCCGCACAGTTGACACCTCACCACGAAGGTTGCCTCTTAGTTTTCTCGCCCGAGGTGTCCCCCCTCGATATCTGGCTTTTGAATGTGCATTTCACGAACTCGATCTGACCTGTACCCCTCCATTATCCCATTCGGACGTTGGCTATCTTTTCTCAAGTGATACAGGCATTTCCAGCTCGCATAGCAACTATATTTCACTCAATAAGTCTTTGCTCTTCCAGATGAGATGAGACACCCGGCAGACATCGAGTGCCTTCTTCAAGATGCGAGGACAAGGAGATGAGCCGCATAACAAAGCAACAAAGAGTTTAATGCGACACAAAACGCTTGAAGATATATCCAAAATTACATCCTGTGCAAAGTAGCTTGGTAACCGCACAAAAACTAAGCAAGGGCCTGGAACAGCAACACAATTAAAATAGAAGCTAAAGTCCCTTGGACCAAGAAAGTTTATTAGTGTCTGTTTTCCAACACAGTGTTTCCAAGCAGGTGCACTTTGACCTTGCAACTTTTCTGAATGAGTGTTGTAGCCTGTGAAGAAATCACACCTGGTATGTCCATTATTATAAGAGCCAAACATAACAGGTCTTGCATGCTTCTATTTACACGTAATTTAATAGGTAATAAACTGTAAAATCTGTGAGCTGTGGCAATTCGTAATTGATGAAAATATATTCATAGTAGCTGCTGTCAATTTCTATAGCGCTCGCATTCAATGGCATCAGTGAGCGGCGTCTTATTTCATGACTTAATAAACCAAGCCGAGGCCAAAAATGTGTTTTAATGAAAAACTCACCATCGTCGTACGCTGCCTTCAAACGCTCGGTGAAACGTTCATTGAATAATGCGTCTAGGCTGAGTTTACGGTGCTTCTGGGGGCATCGTACGGTGTCGATACAGATGTTGACATCAAAATTGTGTTTCTGAGATATTTGCAATCGGCCTCTGCCACTTACCAGTCCTTGGACTGGTATCATCCGTCATTGCCAGAAGTAACACTTGTCAAAGACATCGTTCTGTATACTGTATATGTGTGTGTGTGTGGAGCTGTGGCGTAGTGGTCAGCCTGCGGCGCTACGTACCCGGCGATCCGAGTTCGATTCCCTTTCATGGCCATACACCAGTGATGATTATTTAAAACGGGTGTGGCCCTGCCCTAGGTCGACTCGGCCTCAAATGAGTACCTGGTGCGGTGTGTAAACATTGCTACAAGGACAGACAAAAGTGGCCGGGCATGGTGCTCGCCACTCACTACCTCGTGTGCTGTGTCGGCCTTTATAGATGCTGCTCGCTAACAGAACTTGCCACAACAAGTCTGTTAATGCTATGCGGAGAATCTTTGTCTTTACGGAGGAGTCATATTGGTTTGATTCCTTGCCATGTCCATCAGTGGCACATGGTGTTAAATACTAGTCGTGGTGTATCCGCTACTTTCGCTCAGCCTTAAATTGAGCCAAAGGTGTCTCGGAGTGTTGTCAACTCATGTTTCAGATGGCGTTTGAACTAAGCAACAGGTTACGATTGTATTGTTAATGTAAGCCATTCCATGGCATCTGGGGTGGGAGCTGAGTGGAGTCCACCTATTCCATCAGAAGACTCGAGTCACCAGCGATACGCCTCATGGTTGGCACCTCACCACATTCTCACTTTGACGAGTCATTGATCTTCCATTCCTGGAAGAGTTGTTTGCAGCACAAGCTCCCCACGTGTGCCGCGTTGTCACGAAGAGGCGCTCGTGAAATGTCCGCAAGCCCCCGCGGTCTACGAGGCTGAGTGTGTCGTCTCTGTCTCCGTACGTTGGTGCGTGCGTGCGTGCGTGCGCAGGGCCCTACAGAGATGCACATCCAGCTCATCATGGAGTCGCTGCTGAGGACCGTCAATAGAACCGTCATCGCCATGGACCACAACTCCCTTCTCATGGTGAGTTCCGGGCGCCTCCTCCTCCTCTTCCCTGTGGCTATCAACTTATTTTAATCTCTGCTAAGTGAATCCGCGTTCAGTGGTAACATCTCGCGTGCTCGTACCTTGCGGTTGCTTGTTCGGCGAGAGCACAAGCAGCAGAATGCTCACGGCGCTGGAAACACATTTGTTCCTGTGAGATGAATGTACGTAGCACGTATGTGTATGCGTGTGTGCCGATCACCATGGTTCGTAAATCCATATCGTCTTGGTCTATCATGTGACCACCTGCCAGCGAGTCTGCGCCACACTCCCATGTGGCCTCAAAGTGCACATAGCCAGAAGCAAGCACTGTGGTGACGTAGCCACCACTTAGTGGCACATGCAGGCTGCCGTTGTTGTTGTGTCTTTATGCATGCGGGGCATTGGACATTAACATTGCACATCATTCAGTTAAATATTGAGGTTCATTGAATTTGGTCAGCCTTAAACTAATTTGACGTCTTGGACGTATTGTACACAGTATAATGGGAATATGTAGTGAGTTTTTTCATCAACAGATTTCAATAATGTACGTTTGAACTTACATGACTGTGTTTGTATGCATACTTGCATATGTAAAATAACTGTGTATAGTGCACGCGTGTACTTTTAAAGGTGCTGCATGTATGGTGATTTACACCAAACAAAGGCCCTGTAGAACCTTGACAGGCTTTTGGGGCATAACCTTATTTTATTTCTGTTTTGCAATTAATTATAAAAAAAAATCCACAACTCTTCGATTTTAAAAAGACGCGTTGGCAGAGGTAAAGCTGCCGTAGAGAGTTTCCTTCCAGACAGAGTTTATAAAAGTACGGTACATTAAAAAATATATATTAACACCGGCGGTAAAATATTGAAACGAGCATATGCGGTAAGCACGGTCGCTCGGGGTGCACCGGTCCAGGTGCACGCCTACCCAGGCTTCCAGGCGGGGCACCAAGACAGCTTTGACAGCAGCTTGTATCCCCTTCGTTGAGCAGCTGACGGAGGGCGCTCATTATGAATGCCCCCCTGCCAACCCCCCCCTCCCTCCCCCGTGTACGTGCATGCGTACGTGTGCGCGTGTGTGTTTGTGTCTGCTCGCTGGTGGGCGGGAGGCAGACACGTGCCAGGTTTTCCCTGGCGTGATAACAGACAAATTATTTCAGCTGATGCAGCAAAGCCCGTCAGCTGAGGCGATATTGAAACATAAGTGACCTTGTCTTTCTGCGGCACCCATTCATTTCCGTTTTGTGACACCGCAGGAGGTTTTCTTTGCGCTCATTGCTCACGAACAAACGCCGGCAAATGTCTGCCTTGCACAGAAGTTGGCTCACATTATTGCTTTGCTTGGCCCAAATATTTAAAGTGACCACCCAGCTATGAACAGCTTTTAGCGATTCATGTTCATGGTATTTCTAATCGTATTTTACACTTCCACCTCTAAGTGGAATTCCCGTCACTTGTTCTTGTCCTACCAGTGGCTCTTGTTTGAGGGGTGGAGGGTGTACTCTGTGATCAACCCACGCTCCTCACAATTGTTCAGTGACAGAATTCATTGAAGAGGAAGCACTTGGACACTGGTTGCCCTATTCAGAGACTGATCCCCCCACTAAAAGGACGTGGACTTTCAACAACCGTCTCCAGGCAACGGATGGACATGAGCGTCGCCTCGTGCTCACTTGAGAAGGAGGGAGATACTCTTAGATTGTATGTTCCTTAGCAATGCGTAAATGGTAGGTGCTGCAGTGTGCGTGCTCTGCACTTTGGTCACGTCGCGGCGTTGAATCATAATGATCGTGGGGACATGAGCCCAAATCCTCGCCGACTAAATACCATCATCTCAAATTCCTCCTGGGTAATTGCAATGAGCACCACGATGTGGCGAGTCAGCAGTGGTTTGGTTATATAGGAACAAACTGGTCCCTGCCGAAGAAATTTGGCATTTCTACCACCAGCTCTCAACCGCTGACCTAATACTCATATAATCTGTACCTTTTAAAAATTTGTCATAGCCGACGTGTGTGTGATTTAATCTCTTGTGTGTATTCTTGATAGGTCTTCATTGTGATAATGTACAACTTCCTCCACTAGCTCAATACCAATGGAAATAATCACTGCCCAATAATGTGCCTTGTGTTTGACTTCATGGCGTTCAGCCGGGTTCTGTGTTTCCAAAACATTTTGTTAAACTCAATACGTGTAATCACTCCCCTGATCTGCAACTTTAGTTTTATCGGCAATCCCTTATTATTTGCGGTTGTCATGTGAACCGCGATCCTCTCCACTGCTCAGGAAACCGCGAGGGTTCGCAGGTGAAAGAAAGCAGCTTGGAAAGGTCACAAATTTCATCTCGGTTACCGTCGCGGAGACCAGTCCCTGCCATACAAATCTAGAATTGTCACTCCCTGGCAAAGCCTGCCTTTGGAGGCCTGTGCCTCCCAATGCACCCGTATTGGGTGGAAAATATCCATAGTGTCGCTTGTGGAACCGGCAAACGGCTGCAAATATCTCACAGCACCCCGCTGCACAGCGTTAATTTTCTGGCGGCATCTTTATCTCATCCTGTGCGGGTCTGCGAGGGGAAACGAGATTGAGAATCAGAGACCGCCTTAGATTCTACCGCCAAGGCTTAATCTGTTTTATCTTTCCCTTTTCTTAGTTGTGTTTTTTTTCCTTTTCTCATCAGTAACCAAAGGTAATCAGGGTCCCTCGGCTAATTTGCACATTAATAAATGGCTCATTTGCACATAAATAGGGTGCAGTGTCCGTCAGGTATGTGCACGGAGCGAGCCACTGGGCGCACGGGGAGTTCCTTTAAGCCTGGGCGGAGAAGCTCTCCCCCCGCAGGGCCTCCGCCGAGTCGTCCCGAGCGGGCGGGAAAACAAAGGCAGCAACTCAGTCCGGTGGAAAAGGTTAACCAGTAGGCCGTGCAGCCGGACATCTCGCGTGTCGGTGCACAAAGCCCCCGCAGGGGCCTAGTCTCCTGGGTTCATCTTCATTGTTAACCACCCAAATGTATGATTTATAATTCTGTGTGTGTGCGTGCGCGCGCGCATGTGTGGGAGAGCAGGGTTGTCGTGGATCGCGTGCACTGCGTTACGAACCCCGCTACCCCAGTTGGATTCCCGCTCGTAATTTGAATAATTAGAATCCCGTGATCCATAAAGTTATTTTTCACAAATGTCATGTAAAATTGCTAATGATCAATCACAGCGTTATAAATTGGAACCAGTCCTGGGCCTTCCCTGGGTCGACTTAGTCTTGAGCGAGTCCCAGCAGTAATGTGTAAACATCGGCACTTGTGGACACGTGGTGGTGCTTCCAGCAATTTCAGTTTGTAAAGAGAGAATGACTTGGAGGCGCGTGGAACCACGCACAGGAGGGGAAAGCGTCATCCAGGCGGTGAACCGGTGCCAACATTTGCCCAAGATCTGCAGTCCTTTATGTTTTCCGATTATTTCGGTCAGCTAATGTTTACATGCGGGAGGGAACCAGAGCGCCCCCGAGAGAACCCACACGTGCAATGGGACAAGACACTGTCCCATACAGAAGGAACAGGTGGAGTCCACAACTGCTGTGTACCACATTCTGGAGGCAAGCCCGGGGTACGGCACCTAGATGCCCATGGGAACAACTTGTGTCTGTGCGATCCACCAAGCCTCGACTCCGCAGCGCTGGATTACAGGCGTGCACCACCACTGCCTGGCAAGTGCAAGTTAGGAATGTCATTGCTGGATCAAGTTACTTGTAAGTTAAGAGAAATAGATGGGCATGGAGAAGATTTTCGATGTCATCAGGAAGATGAGGCTGCAATTCTCTGGCATTGCAATAGGCACCCAGTCATTAGTGACCAACAAGACCCGCATACAGCCAGGTGTTAGGGTGCTGTGACACTTCAGGAGGTCAAGTGGCGACTGCACAACAGTCGAGGTGCGGTGGCTTCAGTGGCACTGGCCGTGATGACACCTTGATCTTTATTGACTTGCGCACGCTGCTGTACAGCTGTGGCTTTATACGCTGTCTACATGTGACCGCATCTATAGGTGCTGTCCATAAACGGCGCACGCTTCTTTTTGTAAGAGGCGGTCTTGAGTCGAAACAGGACGTGTGGGAGAGTCGGCAGCACAGATGGCTGGAGGATGGGAGTCCCAGACTATTGGGTGGGGGGGGGGGGGGGGGTGCAGCAGAGGAAAATGAGCGACCTAATCGCCCGGTGAGATAATCTGGACCTGAAGGGGGCCATGCTCTCCTGTGAGCCGTGTTGACGAGCGCAAGGTCCACGCGCTGCTGGCAGATGGCACGTCCGTGGGAGTTCAAGCCTCTCGCCTACGCGGGCAAAGCAAATGTGCTGATGAGAAAGGCGCCGTTATTGAGCGGGTGAAGGGCGAGTGACTGCTTTCCTAATAAAGAGAACAATTTGGCTGACCGACTTTCACAATTAATCTTGGACGCCGTCAAATGGTGTAATAATCGGCCAGCGGCACCGTAGCACAGCTCAAATCCTGATCGGGGTACGATTCGATCCTGCCATAGGCACATGGAATTTCCACCCCTTTGCTTAGGACAGCCGACAGGGAGGAGTGCTGCCTCATTTGCTTATTTAACCAATTTTACTTTTAGCTGACATTCAATGCGACTGCCAATTGTGCAGCACAGCAAACCTCCTTCTACATATAACACTTATCAGCGGGCCACACTCACTTATGCATCTGCCAGTGTGTCCGGCTGCGTGATATGCGCAAGAGGATACGCGGGTGGAATCGATTCCACTTCAATAAAGCCAGTGGTAAAAAATTCCACGTTCCTCTGGCTGAGATTGTTTTATCCTTGGGATGACCGCACTTTGACTTCCCGCAAAATGCTTCGGTGCAATGAGGAAGGGCTCAGCTGGTCCCGGAAACGCACTTCAACTCTCAACCTTTTTTTTGTAAGTTGTAAGTTGAGCACTGTAGCCACAGTGCCACCTGCCTAGCTGCTAAACGCAATGCGTATACTGC